CATACTTATGCTCTAAAGTATACAATAGTACAAAGTCTAGAGTAGTAACCTAGATTTTGCTAATAACTACCCATTCCTAGACCCTACCTAGCTACCCTACCTATACCTATACCTAGTCACGTGCTACCCTACCTATACCTATACCCAGTCACGTGCTACCCTACCCAAACGGTTTGGGTAGGGTACCTCGTGTACCCTGCCTAGTTCCTACCCATTAGTCACGTGACTATACCTATACCCTACCCTACCCTACCCATCCGCCAGCCTACCCAGGACGTTAAACTAATTAATCAAATCAATCAAAAAGGCACCTAGATTAGTAATCTAGGCACCTAGGTGGTGTGTCGCAGCAAGGATTAAGATAAGGGTGCATTTCACGTGATCTTTATCTAGATATTAGACTAATTAGACACTAGCAATCTATCACGCCATAGTGAACAAAATCAGGTACAGCTTAGAGCCGTGATTAGGGCTCCAATTAGGGTATAGCTGGATGAGTATTGGTGTATATATTCCTGCTCATTCAGCACTGTAGATAGAACAAGGAACTTGATCACTTCCTTCACACTTGATCAACAATCAGAGACTGCTCAGCTTCCACAATTAGCAACATGCACGAATCCACCAACAGGATTCAAGAAGTCCGCCCAACAGCGAACGCATCTGCGCTATCACACAGCCATGAAGAGCTTACGTAGGATTGACCACATTTACCCACTGACTTCCGTGCTAGCCATTGCAGCTTCTAGAAAAACAAGCTTGAGTCACCACTTGTTCGCCTTTCTCCCGAGCTACACAACAGCATTTGCCTCCTCGTCGCATCGGGTCCATTGAATATTGTGCGTACCAAGAACATCGAGCCGCAGCACTGCCTAGAACCGACTCTCTGCTCGCAATGATACTACCATTTTGTCGAGAGTAATGCTGAACTCTTTTCAACATGTCGCCGGACCCGCAAAGAGGCTTGGTCCCTCGAAGCTGTTTCCGACGCGCTTACCCTGCCAGAACTGCATATGCGCGTGACCGTTATCAACATCTTTGGAATCGCGTGATGCAAGGGGATAGAAACGCTGCACCTCAATATGATCTCAAGGACATGTCGAGAATGTATCGAGCGTCCTGATGGCGGATGGGTTTGACGCTGCGCCTCTGCGAGACTCACGGTGGCAGCGTGCATGGTCTTTCTCAAGAGCAAGGAGTTGATGTGCTTAGATGAGATGCTTCTTTGCATGCATTTGAAGATACCTTAAGCAGTCAGTGATTTAATCCGAGCAGCATGCGATAGTCAGAGATACTATGACGGCAAGGACCTGCAGAATGAATGGATTTGGCAGAGCTGTCGAAGTTTCACGGCACGTTAGGGTTACTTGAACCACAAAATGACAGAGACGTAATGGACGTGGTCAAATGATACATTCAGAGTACCACAGGCTCAATTGCAAGATACGAATAGAATATTTACAGAAACAAAGCAGAATTACCCTCAATATTTCAATCCTAAAGCCGCAAGCAACTACCACACAGTGGGATTATTGGGCTTTAGGAACGATGACAGGGGGGTAGTGCCGTTCAAGGCCAGCTTGATGGCCTGGGCAAAGGCTTGCGCCGACAGATCGGCCCCTCCAGGACTTGTGTGAGTGTGGTCCGCGGGATACAGGGCATTCGTTGCTGATGAGCCGAGCTTTTTGTACATGTTCGCAACGGATTGCCAGTGGTCGACAAAGCTCGCGCCGGTTCCGACATTCTTCGCCGCTTGCGCAGCGTAAGACACAAACCGGGGTGCGACTGCCGCATAGACGCCACCTTCCCATAGGTTGTTGGGTGTCTGGCTGCTAATTACAACCTTTGCGCCCTTCGCGATGAACGTTCTTGCTGCAGCTTCGATGTAGTGGTTGTACGTGAAGACGGTGGATCCGTCCAGTCCGGAAATGCATGTCTCTGTCCCAGTTCCGGGGCAATCACTGCGTTTGTTGTCAGATGCCGAGGTGGGTGTCCCGCCATCGTTATGACCAAGCTCAATTATCACAATATCTCCGGCTGTGATGAGATTGGCGATCTCCGTGAACCGGCCTTCGTTGGTGTAGCTGCGCGCTGAACGGCCTGCCATGGCTTTGTTCACGACCGCCGCTGTCGTGTATTTGGAGAGATACTGTCCCCAGCCTGTATTTCTTGTATTAGAGATATGGACTTATATCAATCTCTTAAGACCTTCATACCATCTGTCAATCCATTGTTGGCGCCCTTGGCTGCCATGGTGCTGTCTCCGGCAGTGTATATCGTTGGCACTGCACGCTTATCAAGGCTTCCGGGAGCAGCCGATGTGCCGAGTACAAGGGAGACGACAGTAGAGATGGTTGAGAGCTTCATTGCGTAATGTGCACACGCTTCGTGGTAGGAGGTTTGAATGTACAACAACGGCGAAGAAAAACAAGTCGAACTAAAGTTAGTGAGTCGAGCTTTGCAAATGGTGAACTATAAGATTCTTTCGATTTTATATGGACTCCATCCGTATTTCCACGATGCCGGTCTGGACCTGGAAAACAAAACATTCGGTCGCGGGTTGTTTCAAATTAAGCGTCTCCCGCGCAAGCTAATCTGCACTTGTCACTGAGCGAATTGCCGCAGCTAGCTCTAAATGTATTGACCGAAATACGGGGTAGAATGAGCACAAGCATTCTTAGTCCCGGAATTTCTATTGCGAATACGAAGGCTTGTTTCGATTACCAAGCTACGATTGCAGGAATTCTCGTTTCCTTAACCCGACTCGAAATTGTGTCTATTGTTTGCCCGAGAGCACTGACCAAGCTGCTAACTCAGACTTGTTGTTATTCTAAGTCCGTACATAGTTCCCGTCGATCCGCGGATCCCTTGGAGTTGACCACTCGCAGACTTTAGCCCTCAGATATGCCCTCAGATATGTATGGCCTGAGTCGGATATGAAGCCTTCTGATCATGTGCATGCGATAATCACCGCCTTTCAGTGCAATTCATCTCCTTATGGCTGGACTTAGGTCAGAGCTGCGAATCAACCGCTTCGACTTGCAGACCACGTTCGCCAAATGCTCGTCAAACGGCAGCACCGGCTTGGTGTTTGAGACACGAAAGCCTCGCTTCTACTCCTGCAACCTTCACAACCTCCAGAGATTTGAATGCTGTAACCACGTGGCTTAGATCACATGATATCCTAATGTAGCAGGTACTGCCCGGTGGGCAAGTGCGCTTACCTCAGAGCTGAGAGCTCCTGAAACACAACATCACAACACGACAACAGATAGCAATACACTCGTTGATCACAGTCCCCGACCGACACTGCTCACGCAGTTACAAATGCGGACTGCCCAGTCCCTCGATTGTACCAAGCGCTCTCACCCGGCCAGCCCCAGGAGATGTCGGTAATGATCGGCGCTTCCATAACGATGGTACACAGAGTGGTGAATACTGCCTGTTCATCTGGTGAGAGGAAGTAGGTTGTCGCAAGAGAGCGTGATAACCGCGATTCGATGTCCGGACTTTTGTACAGCATGACGTCTTGCTGAATCTGACGGCAAACAGGGAGGCGAACGTTGGAATCGGTGAGCCTGAAGTACATGGACCACTCCCAGATCATGGCTGTAGTATCGGAGATGAGAGCGGAAAATTGGTTGCGCAGCTCCGATGGAAGGCGCAATAGCGGCGACGCTTCCCAATTGCGCTGCATGCTGAGACTGTAAACTGCCATCAAAGACTGTGCAGCGAGCCCTGGACTTACATCTGACCTCTAGTCTGCTGGATTATCATGGCCATTAGTAGCTGTTCTCAGTCCACTATCGCTGGCGCGTGAAAACTCGGGTAGAGATCGAGGGATTGGACCTGGGGGGATGGTGAACTTGCAAGAAAGCAACCGGGCCAGAGCCAAGACGTATCTCGACGTCATTATTCCGAGCACCTTCTGCTAACATTGAGATCGAACTTACCCCCTCTCGCCTTCTCTCATTGTAATCATCGTTCCGCGGTCCAACGAAGTCATGCTATGGTATCGCCATGCCTGAGGCCAGTCCGACGAGCTCAGATATACCTACTAAAATCGATTGAAAACCTTTGTATGTAACGTAGATTATCACCAAGCCGGCCATATCACTAAACCAGCCATTTTCTCTTAGCACAACTAACACAAGTTATTACAACTACAACTACTTACTATTAAATAGTAACCTAGTATACTGCGTGCTTGTATTAGATTTAGAAGATGTTTCTACACCTTCCTAGCATATTTGTACATTATGCCTAGTCTTACTATAGTTCCTACAACGCTAAACAGTTAACTAAGCTCCTAGTTAACTACCTCTACCCTAAGTCTTCTTAGATAGCTAAGCTGCTATAGACGCCTTAGCAGCTACCTATAATACTGCTAGGCTATACTTAAGTGTTCTACTATGCTAAATCTACTTTCTCTTACGCGATTTTCTCTTAGTTATTACTACTAATTACTCTTTAAGCTCTTACACACAGGCCTTAATAAGGATATTTTTATATAGTATCTCTTTAGCCCCTTTTATAAGCTTTAAGAACCCTTCTTATACTATACTTAGTAATTATTAGAAGGAGTTACTTATAAGCTTAGATTAAGACCTAAACTTATGTGTATTACTTAGCGTCTAAGATTACTACAGTATTTTAGGTAGAGGTACTGCTAGTAGGGTATGTAGCTGCACTTTAAGGTAATCTAACACTACCTGCGTATTAGTAGGAATTGTAAAGAAAGTAGGGGAAGGACTAGACAACTTTCTTCCTATTCTAGAAGGACCTAGACAAATCTAGACTAGCGTTGTCTAAATAGGAAGCGTATAGCCTAATAGAGGTAAGGTAGGGTTATGTAATATAATAGACAAGTTATTATATTAGATACTAGGTAGAGATTCCTAGGCTAGGTACAGAGCAAACAGAGGGGGGAGAGCTAGAGGTATTTATGCTTCCTCTCCTCTGTCTGTATTTCTAAGCAGAACGTTCTAGACTCCTTTAGGTAGGTCTACTTTGTAATCTATGCTTAGTATTGCTGCATATACAAGCAAGATTACGTAGGTGTATACGTAATTGTATACGTCAGCATCTTACAGAGTAGGCTACTCTATTTGTAAGCAGAGGGTCTAGAACATTTCTAGTTACTAAAAATAGAGAACAGCATATTGTAAGAAGGAGAGGAGATACAGGCTTCGTAAGCACACCATTCTAATCCTCTCTTTTAGGAGATTATAATAACAATGCTTAGGTAAGCACAGTACTATACCTAAGAAGGAAATATGCTAGTGAAAGATTATAAGAACAAAGTCTTACAACGTAGATTATCACCGAGCCGGCCATATCACCGAACCAGCCACTTTCTCTTGGCACGACCACCTTTTACCCTAACATAACATGCCTTAATAACAACAACTTCAGAATACTACTAGAGAAGGCAGAGTTATCCTTGCTATCCAGGCCTTCTATGCTGGCCAATTTCGCAGTATCTGCAGCGCTGCTAGAGCGTTGAACGTACCTCATCAGCAGGTCTCTGACCGCCTTTGCAATAACGTACTCCACAAGCGAGCTGGCCACCCAAGCGAGCTGGCCACTTTTGCCAAGACCACACCGAACATCACTCTCCCTGTAATGCCTCAACGCAACAACGTAAAAAAGCCTTTAAATAAAACACATATACAGCTTGCCCTCTAGGCTATCTAGCAAGACGCAACACTAAGCGTGTAACGCGCTGTAGCAATATACCAGGTCTCTTAAAGCACCCTAGGCACGCGCCTTACTAGAACCTCTTCACAACGCGATTGCAAGCCTAACATGATAAGGATGACTAGTACTAAGGAGGAGGTGATTGTCCAGCATGTATTGAAGCTAGACAAGCGAGGATACCCACCCCAGCTTGCTAATGTGGAGGATATGGCCAATTCTCTGCTTGCTGAGCACCACCAGCCCTATATTAGCAAGAACTAGGCTGCCAACTTTGTAAAACGTCAGCTAGAGCTTAAAGTTAAATTTAATTATAAGTATAACTATAAGAGAGCTCTATATAAGGATCCTAAGGTAATTAGGGACTAGTTCTAAGTAGTAGAGAATACTAAAGCTAAGTATAGTATATAAGATAAAGACACCTACAACTTTAATAAGTCTAGCTTTATAATAGGTGTTATATTAATAGGAGCTGTTATTACAGGCTCTAAGCGTTAAGGGAGACTAAAGGCAGTATAGCAGGGCGACTAAGAGTAGACTAGTATTATCTAAGGCATCTGCGCGAAGGGCTAGTCTATCCTACCCTTTATTATCTTCTCTAGCAAGCACCACCTCTTAGCCTAGTATAAGGAGCCTAGTATACCTAATAACCTAGTTATTAGTGTCTCTAATAATAGCTAGACTAATAATAAGCTTAGAATTAAGTAGTTAAAGCACTTTAATAAGCATATAAAGGCGCACACTGTTAGTAGCTACTAACTGCTTGTTCTAGACAGCTATAAGAGCCACAACTTAGTTAAATTCTACTAATACTGTAAGGAGCACAAGATTATCACTCTGTGTATGCCCCTACACTTATCCTATCTGCTACAGCCGCTTGACGTGGGTTGTTTCTCCCTATTAAAGAAGGCCTATGGCTGCCAAGCTAAGCAGCTGATGCAGAGCAAGATTACTCGCATTACTAAACTTAAGTTCTTGCCATGCTTTAAAGCTGCTTTTAATGCTTCAATTACTAAGAGCAACATCTAGGGAGGATTTAGAGGCGCTAGCCTAGTCCTGTTTAACCTAGAGGCTGTAATATTAAAGCTTAAAGTACAGCTACGCACGCTAACGCTATCTATTATAGACAACAGCACGTAGGAGTCTAAGACACTAAGCAACACCCTAGAATTTAGGTCTTAATTAAAGCTAATTTAAGAGAGGATCTAGAGACACACTAATAGCTTACTAACATTAATAGTTAACGCCCTTAATTAGCTCACTAAAGGCGCAGAGCTGATGGTGCATTTACTAGTTTTAGTGCGCAACCAGGTTGCTAACCTTTAGGTAGCTAACAAGGCTGCTACACGCTGTAAATCACACAAAAGAAAAGATAGGGTATTAACCTTTGCTAAGGGAGTGTGGCTAACTACTCTAAAGGAGTTTGAGGCCTGTAGTGATGGGAAGAAGGCAAAGAAGAGAGGAGGCGCTAATAGCAGCACTTAGTTATTAAGACAATGTAGCATGTGTGGCAAGGCAGGGCACAATAGGACAACATGTAAGAATGATGCGCAAAGTACTACAGATTAGTGCAATATACTGTGTAGTACATGATATTGTTGTTGTGTGCTGTAATGTTGTAAAGTAATTGTAGTGTTGGTGTAGTCTTGGCAAAAGTGAGCCACTCGCTTGTGGAGTACGTTATAGCGTTTGCAACAACAACGTGCACAACTTTAATAAAACTAGGTTCTAGATAGGCGTTGCTTTGTCTTTAAAGGTCGTAACAGGCTTAGAGAGACGTGCTCAGCCAGAGCTTGTTCAGCCAGGCGATTGCGAGTGGGTTACCGTTATCTAGAGCATCTGCGCTGCTGGGTATGCAACCCTGCCTTTTATTATCTACAAAGGACGCGTCCACATCTCTGCCTAGTATAAGGAGATAGATATACCCTATAATTAGAAGCTCTTAGTCTCTAAGAATAGTTAGATAAATAACATACTTAGCCTTAAGTAGTTAAAGCACTTTAACACGCATACAAAGACGTGTTAGGTAGGAGTGTATAGGTTACTTATCTTAGATAGCTATAAGAGCTATCTTAACTAGGAATTTAAGGACTATTACCTAGAGAACTAAATCCTTACTCTCTATATACTTCCTTACTTATTATATATCCTCTAGCTACTTAATATAGTCTATTTCTTGCTATTAAAGCATAAGTACTCCTAATATATTTAAGACTTAGTATGCTAATATATCTTCTATATTAATAAGGAAGGCTTCCTACTAGCCTTTAGGGACGTGTTCCTTAATATATTTATAAAGGTTAACTACTAAAGGGCCTTTAAGGTATTAGGGCTTATTCCTACTAATATACAGGTAGTGTTAGATTACCTTAAAGTGCAGCTACATACCCTACTAATAGTACCTCTACCTAAAACACTGTAGCAATCTAAGATGCTAAGTAATATACACAAGTTTAGGTCTTAATCTAAGCTTATAAGTAACTCCTTCTAATAATTACTAAGTGTAGCATAAGAGGGGTTCTTAAAGCTTATAAAAGGGGCTAAAGAGATACTATATAAAAATATCCTTATTAAGGCCCGTGTGTGAGAGCTTGAAGAGCAATTAGCAGTAATAACTAAGAGAAAATTGCGTAAGAGAAAGCAGATTCAGTATAGTGGCACACTTGAGTATAGCCCAGCAGTATTACAGGTAGCTGCTGAGGCGTGTGTAGCAGCTCAGCCATCTAAGAAGACTTAGGGTAGAGGTAGTTAACTAGGAGCTTAGTTAACTGTTTAGCGCTATAGGAACTGCAGCAAGACTAGACACAACGCATAAACGTGCTAGGAGGGTGCAGAAATATCTTCTAAATCTAATGCAAGCATGCAGTATGCTAGGTCACTATTTAATAGTAAGTAGTTGTAGTTATAGTAACTTGTGTTAGTTGTGCTAAGAGAAAATGGCTAGTTTGGTGATATGGCCAGCTTGGTGATAATCTACGTTAACTTTACAAACTTTTTGCAATAAGCAGGCGTGTCTAGCATTAGCGCAATAATTTAACACTTAATAGCAAGTCTCCTATCTGCAAATTCAGAGTCTGCAGTTAACAAATCCTTACATAGAATTCTCTTAGCAAAGAGTTTAAGCTTAGCTAATTAGAGATTATGTTAATTACTCTTAGTACTAACTTAGCTAGGCAGCAGATTATAGACTCTAGGAACGCAGCTTTTTAGAAACTATTTGCTGTCTCTGTCCTGTTTCTACTTGCTTAATGTTATGACCTATCTGCACCTACCTACAAGAGTACCCTTAAAAACGTGTCAATGCTCTGCTTACTAAGGTAGCAAGCCTATGACTAGAACACTATTTACCATTATCATCCCGCCCCTGGGCAGAGGTGGACCAGGCCGAGGCTACGTGCCAGGCAGGGTCTGACGGGAGAAAGAAAGAAAGAAAGATTGCTAGAGAGATAGAGAGATAGAGAGATAGAGAGATAGAGAGATAGAGAGATAGAGAGATAGAGAGATAGAGAGATAGAGAGATAGAGAGATAGAGAGATAGAGAGATAGAGAGATAGAGAGATAGAGAGATAGAGAGATAGAGAGATAGAGAGATAGAGAGATAGAGAGATAGAGAAATATAGAGATGTAGAGATAGAGAGATAGAGAGATAGAGAAATATAGAGATGTAGAGATATAGAGATATAGAGATGTAGAGATAGAGAGATATAGAGATATAGAGATATAGAGATATAGAGAAATAGAGAAATAGAGAAATAGAAAAACAGAAGGAAAGAAGGAAAGAAAAGCAGCCCGAGAACGCATCAGGATCCGCGAGGCTCGGTGTGGAAGAACCGAATCGCGGCGTGGTCCACGAGCCGGTACAGCAGCAGAGAGAGTGGGGGAGAAAGAGAGATGAGAACGGAGGATCGTGGTCCAGGCACGCACCCCCTCGAAGCGGCGGGGCAGGCTCGAAGCAGCAAAAGCGAATAAAATTGGTTCCGAACGCGACGCGAGAACGCTACAGAGACGGTATGCTACGCTAAACAATCGACAATGCACTGATGCCATACCATGCCATATTCATGTCCATATTCATATCCCATCTATCCCTCCCCCATTTACATTCTCTACTCCATCCCTCTATCATGCGCATCATGCCTCAGGTCCCGCGTCCCAGCAGTCCAGACAGCCAGCTCGCCAACTGCTGGCCGCGCATGCTCGGCGTGAAGCTCAGCGCGCTCTCCGCGCCGTCCCTGCGATCCGGTGTGCACGGCGCAGTGGGCGCCGTGTTGCCCCTGGGGCGTCGCGTGGGAGTCGACTTGCGACTCGAGTCGTGTCGGTCCCTCGCGCGCAGACTCAGGGATGCTGATTTGTGCGTGCGCGCGCGGCTCGAGGGGGGCGAGGCGTCGATGCTGAGCGGTGTCGCCGTGGTGCGGGGGTTCGGAGGGGTGTTCTCGGTGGAGGCGAGGACGCGGAGCGGTGGTGATGGGCTGTGCGGGAACTGGTTCGCCATGGGCGTGTGGGCGAGCATCTGCATTGGCAGCGGGATGCCAGATTTGACCCACGGGCGGACGGTGTAGCTTAGTTGCCGTGTTCCTGTCCAGGTTGCATCAGCATAAGGGTTTGACGGCTAAGGGTAGGTCGTGGCGGTCTCAGGAAGGTGTTGCACCTTCAGGCGACGGTGCCCGTTCCTCCTTGGCCTCTTCCTGTGCTTCCGGTGCTGGTGCATCGGTTGGCGCAGCGGGGGCTGGCTCTTCAGCCTTGTCCTCGGCGCCGTTTTCTTGCGCGGCTGCTTCGGCTGCGGCCTGCATCCTCTCCTGGCGCTGTCTCTCCATCTTCTCCGACTTCTTCCTGATGCGCTCCGCTTCGCGCTCGTTGTGCTCTTTGCGAGCTCGTTCCTCTCGCATGAGGCGGACGCGCTCAACCTCCTCGACCCCACCGCTCTTCTTCAGTTTGCCTTCGGTGACAAAGTCGCCGAGCTCGCGCTTGAATTCGTCGTCGCGTCTGGTCTCGAGATCGCGCTGGCGAGCCTTTTCTGCGCGCTCAATGGCTTCGAGCCTGCTCTCGTGGTTCGGTTGCAAGGCTTTGACCTCGCCTAGCACTCCGTCGCGGGCCTGACGGGGGTCGACAACCTTGTCCATGGCGACTGCGTTCAGGGCCTTTTGTCCGCTGGCGGAGCGGGTGCCCTTGGCTTGGTCCTTTTCATTCTGCAGGTTCTGCTGCTTAGTGGCCTGCTCGACAAGCTCAAACGTCTGTGTGGCCTTTTCGAGATCGTCCTGCAAATCTGCTGCGAGCTCTTCCTGCATGGTGAGAAGATCCCTCTCTTCGCAGACCGTCTGCAGCTCCTGCTCCCAGATCTTGGTCCACAGTGGCTTCTCCTTGGCAAGGAAGTCCTGCAGCTTCTTGAGCTCAGCGGTGGCCCTTGACAGATCCTTGGCGGTAACCTCGAGCTGGCGGGGCAGAGGTCGCACACCGCGCATGACGACGTCTTTGCGGAGATCTTCGACAAGATCCTGGAGGTCGTCGACTCGGTTGACAATCTTCTCCGATTCATCCTGCAGGTTCTTCTTGCCCGTGTTGATGTATGCGCGGCCAGTGTCTCCGTCGAGCGTGGGCAGAGCGGCCTTGACGGCGGTCGACTTGACGGCGGTTGCTTTGGTGCGCACAGCGGACATGCTGGCCTGGATGTCTGAGACGAACGAAGAGTAAGTCTGTCTGACAACAGCCAGATCGCGGCGCAGCGCCTGCACCTCGCTCAGCTGGGCGGCTGATGCCAGCGTGCCCTCTGCCGCAAGGCCACCCTGCAGCGGCCTCGAAGGCAGGAGCGCCGAGTTGCGTGCCGAGGTTGGTGGTGGTGCTGCTGCGATGCCTGCAAGCTCGCGTGCCGTCTGCTGCTGGCGCTCAGCAACACGGTCAATGGCCGACTGCTGATCGGTAACAACAGTCTTGATGCTCTCCACCAGCTCTCTCAGCCCGCCAAACTTTTCATCAATGTGATTCTTGACCTCATCAAGCTGTTCGACGTTCAGCACGAGGACCGAGCGCTCCTTGATGTCGTTCAGGTCGTCCAGCTCGTAGCGCACGCCCGAGACGGGATCCTGGATGTGGATCTCCGGGAGCTCACCGTGTCGATGCGTGTCCCAGGCGAATTTCTCAATAAAGGCTAGCTGCAGCCGTCCAGCGGACAGCTCCGATCCGTCAGAGAAGACGTACTTTTTAATCTTGCTCTTGTACTGCAGGAACAAGGTGAGCTCTTTGCCAGCCTGGGGCGACAGGTCCGGCACAAACGGCTGCGGCTGTGGAGACGGTGACTTGGCAGCCCTCCGAGAGCCATTCCTCACGGGTATACCGTTGGACTGTGCCGGCCGTGTCTCCGGAGAGTCGCCGGCCATGTCGATTGGCTCACCGAGCGGACCACTCGTAGCTTCGAGAGACGGCCCGTCAGGCTCTGGGAAGTCGGGCTTGCCCAGCATGTCTTCCGGGGTCTGCTGCATAGGGCTGAGCTGGGCGTCGGGCTCTTGCGGCCGAGGCAAAACAGGAGCTCCGCTCTGGGAGCTCTCTTCAGAGATGCGCCTCGAGACGTGGTTCGTCCTGTCCACAGCCGTGTCCACGGTCGGGCGCTGTTGGTTCGACCGCTGCCGGCTGTGCATCGTGGAGCCTCTTGTCCTGACTGCACTCATCGACTCCCTCACGTCGCGGCCTCGATTCGGTATGGGCGAGTTCTGCACGGGCGGAAGCGGTATGCCGTTTGTGCCCAGGTGCTTCTGGATCTGGTAGGCAGAAAAGCGGCGCGAGGCCCTCCTCTCCAGCTCTCCGCCCCTCTGCAAGGCGGCGAGAGCATCTTCCTGCTTCGGCGGCGGCGGCGGCGGCGGGAAGTGTGCGGGATAGTTTTGCGACGACTGCGACGGGTCTGGCGTCGCCGGCATGGCGTCGTCGGTCGGGTAGGGCGCAATGACGGGCATCTGCTGGGCGGTCGTGCTCGACATGGACGAGTCTGTCGACATGTGGCTGCTGCCGGTGTTGCGGTTCGCGCGAGGGTTCGCGGGCAGTGCATCGTACTTGGTCAGAGAGCCGGTGCCGGCAACCGACGACGACCGCGGAGGGCGGTCTAGGCTGTGGCCGTTTTCATCGTTGCGCGATGGCAGCCGCTGGCTCGATGCCCGCGTCTGCTGCGGCTCCTCTGGCTCGCCGGTGCTCGCTATGCTGCCCTGCCTGGGGCTGCCGCCGTTCAACGAGGCGTCCCGGGCGGTGCGCTGGCGCAGGCGCTGCTGCTTCTTCTTCAGGCCGTGCAGCAGGTTGATGATGATGTCCCGTATGCGCGGCAGGAAGTTGTCGAGGCTCGTCTGCGACGCTTCCTGGCTGAGCGTCTCCTCGAGGATGCCGCGCAGCAGCTCCGGCACGTTGCCCAGGTCGGTGGTGTCGACGCCAATGGCGTTGAAGGCGCGCGAGGCGATGTTGAACTCGTAGCCCAGACGCACGTAGACGTCCGAGACCTCGCTCTCGGTGGCGGTGCCGCGCGACCATAGTGTCAGTGTCTCTGGGCGCGGTTAGCGGGCCGCGGTGAGGCGGGTGGGCGCAGGCGGCGGCCGGGGGGGGGGGGGGGGGGGGGGGGGGGGGGGGGGGGGGGGGGGGGGGGGGGGGGGGGGGGGGGAGACGCACCGAGGAGCTGCTTGGTGGCGACGAGCAGGTGGGTGACGGACTTTTCAATCTGCGAGAGCTGCTGCTGGGGCTGCACGGCGTCAGCTGTCGGGCGCATGGCATCGGGCTGCAGCTGGCGGGACAGGCTCACATTCTTGGGTGCACGGCGCGAGGAGCCCTGCGAGGAGCGCACCGAAGACGCTTCGTCGGCCATACTGTGTGGCGGCCCTGGGGGAGGGGGACGTGTGAGGGCGTGAGGGTGGTCGGGCCGGGCGGGCGGACGGGCGGGCGCGTTCGTCTGCTCCAGACGGGGCGTGGTGGTGATGCTGGGTCTGACGTTGCGTGTCGTGGATGACTAAGTCGCGGTCGCGCACATGTCACCAATGTCGACCCAGCAAGTCTAGTGACAGTCTCAGTGGCAGTCGGTTCACGCACGATGTTGCATTGGGCTGAGGCAGGGCGGGCGGGACATGCAGTAGGCAGACTGTAGACACGCAGACTGTAGACACGCAGACTGTAGACACGCAGACTATAGACACGCAGACTATAGACATGCAGACTATAGACAGGCAGACTACAGACTCGCAGACTCGCGAGCGTCTCAGGAGTGAACAGCCGGCGGCCGTCGTGGCGCACTGCACGCACTGGACGGCCTGAGCCGCCGTAGTGCCATTCGCCAGGAACAGCACGCTACTGGGCTGCTGGGCTGTTGGACGAGCTCACGCAGCGAGAGCTAGCTGCATTGATGCTTGGGTGTGTGGATATACAAAGTAGTCAGTGATTAAGTTAATGATTAACTAACGATTAATCATTAATCATTAATGGTCAGCGGTCGATGGTCAATGGTCAAGGGACAATAGTCAATGGACAATAGTCAACAGTCAATAGTCAATGGACAATAGTCAACGGTCAACGGTCAAGGGACAATAGTCAAGGGACAATAGTCAAGGGACAATAGTCAATGGACAATAGTCAACGGTCAACGGACAATAGTCAACGGTCAACGGTCAACGGTCAATGGTCAATGGTCAATATGGTCCGCAGTGATGCCTGGGGGCGTCGCTGCAAACCACACGCCCTCGCAAGCGCCGCTGGACGTCGTCCTCCAGGTCCGCAGAACAGCCTGTTGGTTTCACAGTGAGGCTGCGTCGCCCCAGGTGTCACCGCATAGTCGACGCGACACAGCCTGCCCACGGCGCTCCTCAACCACCTCTCCCCCCTCCCCGCCCCCATCCGCGTGCGTCTCTGCTGCAGGTTGCTGCGTTCACTTGCTCCGCCGCCGTCCCCCAACTGCCCGACTGCCCCAGGCTGGCTAGCTCCCGCCCGCTCTCCATTGTTTCAAACGGGGCCATCCAGCTTGGCACGGCCGCCGCACGTCGACGCACGACAGCGACTGGCATCTTCTGGCAGCGTGTCCACAGCCTCCGCAACCAGTGCCCGCCGCCGTCCGCTCTGCCCGTCTGCCCGTCTGCCCGTGGGCGTCCCTTTGCCGTCGTCGTCGTCCCGTGAAGACTGAGCGTGCTGTCGAGCGATCCGCGCCGCTGCACCCCCGCTCCGTTTGCTCAGTGCTGCCACGGCCCGCCACGGCCCACCAGCGAGCTCGCCCGCAGCCTGCAGCTGCGTTATTCTTGTGTGCCTCCACGTCGACCTCCGCCACCGCCGCCGCCGCCACGGCCACGACCACGACCACGACCACGACCACGGCCGCTCCCAATGCTCTGAGCCCGCCCGCCGCGACCCCCGGCCCGATACTGAACATGACCCCGTCGGCCAAAGCCATTGACGCACAGCGCAAGCCCGCCAGCCCCGTCGACGCCGCCCAGAGGTGAGCTCCCCCGTGTGTGCCCGTCCCGACCGTGATGTTCAAGCCCGCGCTGTCACGCTCGTCGTCGCGTCGCCCAGCGCTGCACTGCACTGCACTGCGCGCTCGACCTCGTGTGACGCGCTGCCCGTCACCTGGGCGCACGGTGCAACGATGCAATCTTGCTGGCATCCATGGCGTTCAAGCACACGCTTCTGCGCTTCGGGCCTGCATCGATTCCATCTCGCGCCCGCCATACGGCCATGTCGACTGCGGCTGCTGACCACCTGCCAGGAAATCGCCAGCCCCCAGGGCGTGGTCCCAGGGAACGAACCCCATCACGCAGCGGCCGACAAGCTCGACGCCCACCAACGGCCTCGCAAACGCCCCGAAGCCCGCAGCCACTGCGCCCGGCGAGACGTCAACACCCATGCGGCACCTCAGCGACCGGATGATGTACCTGCTGGCCAACTTGACTGTTAGTAAACACACGCTTGACACACACACACACATACACACACACATACACACACACACATACACACACACACAATTGACACATACACACACACACACACACGCACACACACACACACACACACACACACACACACACACACACACACACACACACACACACACACACACACACACACACACACACACACACACA